ACGATTTTGTTATTCATAAGAGACTTTGTGCAAGAATAAAGTTGTTTTCGATCTATCAAGATACTAAACTACAAATAATGTATTTTAAACACACAAAATAGAGTAGGCTTCTTGTATTACAGCCTGATTGTTTAACAGGAAATATTTTATAATTAAAGTACAACGCTATTTTAAAAACTATTTAAATACTTTTTAATTAAAATAAACTGTAAAATATTTTATTTTATAGCATTCCTAGAGACAATTTTGTATAGGAATACAGAATAGGAATTGTAATTTATAAATGAAAAAACAAATTTATAATTTAAAAAAAATTAAAAATGTATGCCCGCGATTTAAAGAATGCAAAACAAATAAAAAAAAAAAAACAACAATATGGCGTTTATTGAACTTGATATTTGTTTGAAGTTCTGGTGTTTTGTCTGAAGACTTTGCCCTCCTTGAGGGCTGCCTCCCGACTTTTGCTTACAAGGTACTTCTTCAAGTTGTTTGGCTTTGGAAACTGTAAGATAAGGTGAAAGCACTAGCGTATCCAGGATTTAATTTTGGGGGGGCTTCAGCCCAAAAGCTTTTTTTTTTTTCATATACATATAACGATAATTAATTTGAATATAAATGAAATAAATTAATTATCTGTATGAAATGATGTTTAAGTGGTTCTTGAAATCCTATTAAATGTAATTAAACGAACACGAATACTTTAATATATAGTTTTGAATATTTTTTTCTGTAAAATATGGTAACATTTTACGATTTTAAGCGTAGGGGGGGGAGGGGAGAGGGCTTGAGCCCGAAAGCTCCTCCCCGTAGATCCGCCTGTGGGTGAAAGTAAATATTCTGCCGTAAAGATATCTTATTATGCAGACCGCTGCCTTCGGATCAAGTTTCTCAGTTGGGTAACTAATAACCGATAGAGCATCCCTTGTTCTTATATGGCTTCAAATGAAAGAATTCAATATACTCAAGATCTCGTGGCCCTACATACTCTCAGAGACTGCTAATGATTGAAGATATTGTTAGACCTGAAGACTCCTGATAGAAATCTTCGTTTCCCGGAAGAAGGTGGTAAGGGCTGCGATCGATATAACATAGCAGCATTATCAGCTCGTTAACTTTCCTTGTGGGTCTTTCGTGAAGAAAAGTAGTTCCTAGCAAAATATAATCAGTTGATGATCTTTCTCATGACATATATTGACGATATATTTGACCAAGCGATTGTATTATCATACGAATATTCTAAATTTAAAGGCGGTAGAAGTAAAAAAAAAACTTAATAAATAAAAGACATCAAAGTAAGGCAATGTTACCAAGGCCAAAAAAACAGGAATATGACGCAAAAATATATAAAATTCCGTTTTTTTGTTTAAACCTGGTTATCAATTAAATTCAAACATGGTAAAGGCATTTAAACCTTGAAAGGCATAATTGTATATATGTTTATAACTAGTCTATATCACTACATATAATAGTTATTAAAATAAATTATTAAAATTTAAAACCACCAAATATAATTATGAAATATTTATATTTAATAACTAAATAAATGTACTGTTTAAATGAATCGATTATCAATTATAAATATTCATTTAACAATAGTTCTTATGGAATAGTAAACATTTTATTTTATTTCTATCAAAATACAATTTTAAACACCATCGTAAACACCATATTTATAAGAACTCCTCACTTCGTCCAATTAAAAAAAAATACATATTTTTTCATTAATTTTATAAATTACAACTTATATAGAGCAAGTCATAATGGTTCAACCGAATACTCTCACATTAAATTGACATTAATTACATTATTATGATATTAAAAAAAAAATTAAATCACTTTTCATCTGCTTCAAAGAGAAACGTAATAAAATACGACCGTATTGACGTAGCTCAACTCCTCACGTTTTTATCGTTTTTTTTTATCCCTTCGGAGCCAATAATAGACTGCATTCTTAAATGAATCAAAAAAATAGCCGAAGCATTCCTAAATTTTCATTTATAATGAAATGTGAACGCGCTTGATATTGATATTGAAAAAGTAAATCCATAATTTCTCTTCATTATTAGTTTTTTTATTAAAAAATATTGGATATTTAGAGTTGACTATTTTTTTCTTTTTAAAAATGTATCCGCACGGGTCATGGTATTGACAATAAGCATATGTGTTGTAATAAATCAGGATCGTCATTATAGGCATGACCACCACTACCTGGCCATTTATTTACTTCTTTATTTATTATTTACTTCCTTAATTTAGGTGAGATCTCTCATGTAGCTCCTTTTTAGTCTCCTCCTGATTTCGTTTATAAGTCTGTTTTTGTGTCCGTGTAGTTTGAGATGAAAACGAGAGTAAAGAGAACAACACGGTGTGACAAACCCTCTCCCCCCCTACCGTTCACCATCGCCACATCCCTATAAATTGCATATCTTTGTGTTCATTGTAACTATTTATCAAAAAAACAGTGTTCCTACAAAAAAAAGTCAACGCACTGTCCCAAAATGGCCTCCAAACAAGGCGGACTGACGACATTGACTTTAGTTAGTTTTTTGGTCACTGAGAATCAACATTTAGCTTAACTTCTTCATGGTTGGCCTTTTATTAAAGCTGGATAATCATAGAATAACAAAACATGAAAAAATATTTAAAATATAATTGGCTTAGGCAACAAAAAACATCAGTAAATTCACTTTTTTTAACAAAAAAATTTTCAAGTTAAAAAAATCAAGCATCGCTTGTAATTAAACGGCCAACAATAACGGAAAAACGTGCTGAAATAAAACATCTTAAGAACATATTTGTATTTCTAAATGGCTGATTACTTTTTAAAATATTTTGAACATTTCCGTAGAAAATGCACTTAAGCAATACTGGCGTAGGTGCCTACAGGTCTCTACCACATCATTCAATACTCAAATGGCTTAATTATAAGTGCTATAACAACGTTTAGGCCACATTATATTGATTGTATTAAAGAACAAATATTAATGCAATAATTTAATTGCTCAAACAAATAAGACAATTTTTTTAACTTATTATTTTATTTTTTTAATTTAACTTCCTTTATTCAATACGGAGGTCGTTTAAGAAGCCCTCTATTGTAAAAATAATGTAATTATAATAATAAAACTTAATTCAACAATACTTTGCTGAATATTTGGAATTTTTTATTTAACATTTGCAATTTAACTCCTTGTTTTGTATATTTACTGATTCTTAGAGGTAATTTGAATTATATGTACTTCCCCGGAAATGAGTCATATTAATACGTGCTTGATAAACCAAAATAATATATATCTAATCTGAACTACATATAATGAATAGTTGCCGAGTTTTTCAGCATAACTCATATATCACTAATAAAAAAAATAATTTTTATTTCCTTATTTTATTCGGAATTCGGACCATATCATAAAAAAATAGGAAATTTTAATATTGAATGCATGAACGGAGTGGCCGAACGGGCTAACGTGTGTGCACAGCACCGCGAGTAGGTTGGCAACCTGATAACCAAAGATATTAGCACAATCCAATGTGTGAGGCACTAAGCGGATAGAGAGCTATTTTTCTTTCTTGATGGACAGCTATATCTGTCTTAATGTGAAGACAGTCGCAATGTGAAACTTTAGTTCCTCAATCCATATCGCTCTGGTAATCGACAATATTTGTTATTATTACTTACTTACTTACTCCTCGGCGCTATAGTCCGTGTGGGACCTTGGCCTTCTCAACAATACGTCGCCATTTGTTATTCTAGCTTCTAGAATTCTTGAGTAGAGTATCTTTGGTACACTAAACAGGAATGACTCTGGATGGGTATTAAATTTCCTAGTATCTCCTTTCTTATAAAGGGACAAAACTACAGCCCTTTCATATCATTTTCTGATGGCATATTATTCAATATATATTGAAACAGTGGAGAAATATATCTTTATATTTGTTGCATTACATTATATACATTACATGATGTGGTAGAGGTCTGTAAGCACCCATGCCAGTACCGCTTTTCTGCTAGTGCATTTTCCACGGAACTGCTTCTAATACTTTAAAAATTAAACAGTGTTTTAGAAAGAGAAATATGTTCTTCAGATGTTTTATTTTAGCGTGTTTTCCGTTATTGTTGGCCGTTTAATTACAAACGTCGCTTGATTTTCAACTTGAAAATTATTTTGTTAAGAAATTGTATTTACTGGTATTTTTTACTGCCAAGGCAATTATTTTTTAATATTTTTTCATGTTTTATTATACTATGACTATCCAGCTTTAATAAAAGACCAGCTGTGATGAAATTAAGCCAAATGCTGATTTTCAGCGGCCAAAAAACTAATGGGGCAGTGCGTTCACTTTTTTTGTTGTAACATTGTTGTTTTTTTTGTTTAAGTAGTTACAAGGAATACCACGATATGGAATTTATAGGAATATGGGGAGGATACACGGTTGGGGAGTCTGGCCCAATACTATACGTATTCGTTGGTCTATAGTTTGTTGTCATAAGTCGTTATTAAAGTCTTGTTGTTGACTGTAGTTTTTGTAAATGCGCCTTTTTTTTCAAGCCGTAAATCTGAGAGGCGTATGTCGAAATGGGTTTGAGTAGGTAAGTGTATGTATTTAGTTTTTGTCGAACTTTCAATTTCGATTTAGAGAAAGTGAGTACAGTATTTTCAGTCGCTTTTTTAAAGTATATCGTTTCATTTTGTGGGTCCCAGGTCATCCTTCCGTCGAATATCAGTCCAAGGTAACTGTGTTTGTCTGAGGAATTTGGTTCTCTGCTATATGAACTGGTGGGCACGTCCTCGTCGAAATGTAAATGTTATGTTTTGCGACTTGCCATGATTTATTCATTTTAAATATCATTAATTTCTAGTGATTTTCGGATGATTTAACGTTTACTACTATAGAATTCGTTGGAGCATGTCTAATATTTTTTTATTATTTTAAAAATCTTTCTATAGTGACTTGACCAGATATCTCCCTCCATCTTTACTGATATGATCTACTTCTAGGGGCAGTTAACATATCTCCAAAGAATCTTATATGGTCTTTCAAGACGTGGATAATGGGAAGCCTCTGGTGGTTAAGCATAGGCCAAGGAATCTTCCTACGTAAGGTAGAAGTTCGTCTGTCTGCTGAGGTCTGGTTCGAGTATCAGCATCACTGCTGGTTCTATTCTCTTCATGTCTGCTGGTGAGTGAGTCTCTTATCATAACGGTTTTTTTTTTTCGTTTGATATCCCACATATTCCAAGGTTTAAACAAGAAATTAAAGAGCAGGTTTTTAAATCAGTACCTAAGTATGTTGCTGTTTCTTAATAATCTTTTAAATATAAACTAATTATGATTCAGTAGTATTTTTATTATCTTTTGTAGAACCTCCAATAGTCTGAAGTTTAATGTAGATTTTTTTTCCCTTATCACTTTTAGTTAATAAGTCTTAGAATGATGTAATTCGTTCGAGTCCACCAATAAAAAATTTAGAAACTTTCGTTACTAATTTCATCACACCACTTTACTATGTCACTTGTATTACTTTGTAAATTGACTGTATATATTAAATAATAATATTTTCTTGAAATTAAGGAGTTAATTTTTCATTTTCAATGGGTTAAATTAACACGGCTATAAATTTATATGTTACGTGTCGGTATTTATAGTCGTATTAGACATCTGCTACGATGACTCTGCTAAGAATACACAATGGATTTTTAAAATTATTTTTGTTTTGGTCAATATACTGCATCTTTCTTGCTGACAATTATCTCGTACATCCATAAAATATGAAAGGGGCAGGAAAAAATAAATTTTCAAACGCATCAAAGCATTGAAACTTTTTTAATATTTACTTTTTTAAAAATTATTATGTGAGCTTGATCCACGAATATTTATTTTCGGTAATCCTTATCGTAGCAATCGTAAAAAATACGATTGGAAGTTTATCTGATACTGAAAGTAGTTATCTTCTTCTAGACTGAATGAGAAAGTCAAAATATAATCAGGGATAAAATAGAAAATATTCCGATCGTGTCGAAGTATGTCGATTCTTCCCAATACAATTGTTTTTACTAAGAGTGACAAATATTTTTTGTAAATAAATAGCAACAACATATATTAATTTTTGCCGTGTGATCTTTAATGAATATTATCTGTTGAAACACATATTGTATGCTAATGTAAAGTACCGGACTAATCTTGACGATATCTTTCTATTTGTGAGTATAATTTATTCTGTTAATAACCATCCTACTATATTGTTACTTTATTACTCTTGAGAACTTTAACAGTGAAGCTAGTTATTTCTTGCAATCTTCATTACTGAAGTAAGTTGTCATTTTCATTCAGTAAATAATTTGCAATTAATGAAAGTATGGTAGTTATATGGAAAAGAAACGCATGTAGAGTTCATGTTTTTGAGTAATTTGTCTCAATATGAGTGATTCCCGATCAATGTCGCGTGCGGTACCGAAGAACTCGTTAGAGAGTGTCTGGTATTTTTTTTATCAATTTAAAAATCTTTGAAAAGTAATTGATTTGACCTTAATATTATATTGATGCAAATTACTCATTATTATCCTAATCTCAAAATAAATACATGCATCTGCCGAAAAAAAATGATATTTTTATCGCTGCTTTCGATGTTGCGAATGGAATTAGTTGTTTCCACGGGATATAATATTCATAATTATCAACGCAATATCCACCTGAGTCTGAGCACCGAATTAAATGATGAACATATGTAATTTAAAACATAATAAAAATAAAATTGTTGGAACTACTCGGAATGACAAATTATTAATCGCAATGAAATTATCTATATATTTTTCGTAAATAAATTAATAAGCGGCAGTTAATTTGTAATTAAATATTATCTCGATATACAAAAGAGAAAACTAATTTTATGTAATAATAATATTTTCCAGTAATTCAGATATTTTATTTTATTTATTTATTTTTTTTTTTAAGAAGAAACTTTAAAAAAACACCTTAATAATAATTAAATTACTGATTTTAACATATCGGGAATTTCTAATCCACATTATAAGTGTTATGTAAACTAAAGTCAAAGCTAAATCGACTTTTAAATAATTAGGTACATCATCTTTTCTTTGTCACTCTCCTACTTTCATCTTAGATATTATACAACTAAAAATATTGCTCTTATTAATTATTTAAATTTTAAATATTTAAGTTATTACCTAAACTTTAAAGTTATTACTTAAAACTTCCCTCTCGCAACTAGGTATAAGTTGATATATATAAGGTATATATTATTGTAATCGGATCAAAAGGGCGGTCCCTCCACGCCCAGTGGTATAATAAAAGGCCTCTGGCCACAGATGCAAAGAACGCATACAGCGTGCAGAGCCCTCTTAACTTAAAATGCCCTTGGGCAATAAAAGGAAAGTTGAAAATTTATGTATATATACATTTATATACACACTGAATTTATTCAAGAAATTCCTGGGGGGTAGGAAAAAAAAAAAAAAAAAAAAAAAAAATCGGATCAAATTAACTATGTGCGTTTTTCACTTTATTCTGCTGGATTTCAGAGTCTCCTGAGTCTGAAAAACGCATTTATACCTATTGATCAGTGCGTTTGTATTTGTATACTTGTATGTGTGACTATGTCGCTATTATCTCTTTAATGGGTGGACAGATTTTGCATTGATCAACAATATTGATTTTGTTTTTGGAATAAATGAATGAATGAAAAATATCTGTATTTTGTAATATTTACAATTACGGGAGTTCTGGCCCCCATTACAAACATTTTTACATAAAGAAAAATCAATAATAAACACTAAGCAAATATAAAAATGAATCAAAATTTTTTTCATTATAAAAAAGATAAATTAAATATACAAAATATTATTTAAAAAGAAAATAAAACTGTCTCACAATATAAATAAAATATATTGATTTTGAATAAATAAAATTAAATTTACAATAAACGAATTAAAAAATAGTAACGATAATATTTTACGTACTTCCTATTACATGTATAAAAAAATACGACATACAGTTTACAAAATGATAGAACGATATGCAATAATACACAGCATGATCGGCTTAGAGCTTCTTAATCAAAGATAACAGAAAAAGTTAAAGTGGTAAACATTACTGTCAGCTACATACTACAGTAAACAAACTAATGTTACTGGGATTTAATTGTTCATAATAAATGCCTCAATATTTCATCAAAAGATTTTAAATTCATCTGTTATAAGTTTGATGAAATAAATTTTGCCTATTATTGCTGTTACGTTTCGTTTGTTTGGATGTCTTGTCTAGGCGCAAAACATCCAGATCATCAGCGCCCGATCAACTAAATAACACTACTTTTATACTGTTTGGATAGTTGATACAAAAAAAAAATGATACAAATAAATAAATAAAAAAAAAAAAATAAAATAAAAAAAATGATTAAAAAAATAAATAAAAGGATCAATAGAATAAAATAAATAAATAAAGATAAGAATAGACACTTATAGATAATAAGATAGAATAGATAAATAAATAAACTTTAAAAAAATAGCAATACAATCAATAAATGAATTGAAACTAATAAACAAATGAACTTTTTAAAAGTAATTAAACAATTAAAAAAAATAATAATAATAAATCTGCAAAGGATCATTAGTTATACACTTGTCATATATGTTTTTTAAGTCTTTCATTATCTAGGAATTTGATAACATTGGTAAGGATTTCTTCTTGATTTCCCAGGGATGTTATCTCCCTTGATTTGTCCTGTTATGTTATCTATTTATATTACTATGAATAGCCATAAATAACAACAATTGATAATACCTGCCTCTACCTTTAGATTTCTGTTTAGTGACTTTTGAATTAAATATTAAATAACTAAGAATTATGAACTTAATTTTTTTTTTTAAATTTTATTTATTGGATAATAATACAATCAGCCACTGCTGGAGGGCTATAAGTATTAGGGCTAAGAGTTCTCATTCATACAATATATACACATAATAGAGAAATAAATATAAATATAAAAAGTAAATAAATAGTACCGATGAATAAAGTAAATAAAAGAAAAAAAAAGTAAACAAATAACATAAAACAAAAACTTCTAAACACAATCATACCTATATATAATATATACATTCGTCCAGGAATCTCCGAGCCAGGCTTTTTCCCCCACATGTGGAAGGCAAAGCAAGACTCCAGGAGATCCCAGTGCCACTTTTCCAGCCGCATCACTAGTATTAGAAGCCAGTGGAGACTGAAAGAGGGCACTAGAGCCACAGACGCTCAGGACATGAGTGAAAATGCTGGCCATTGCCAGGACTCCAGAAGCATATTTACAAGAGATCTCTGGGCCACTGCCGTTTTAACCTTCGTGGAGGATTGTAGGGAAGAAGGGAGCTGGATAGGGATTGAGCTAGAGGATTTGGATGATGGATAAGGTTCTGGTGAAAATTTGAGAATCTGGATGGGATGATGTCGAGGACAAATGGGATGTTAAGGTCATGGTGTAGGGTCTTGTTTGTGACATAATATGGGGCATTAACTATTGTTCTGAGTACTTTGGACTGGAAGGATTGGATGCGTTTGATATTCGAATGTTTAGCAGTTCCCCACAGTTCAAGTCCGTAGGTCCAGATAGGTTTCAGTATGATCTTGTAGATTAAAAGTTTATTTTCAATCGAAAGATGGGATGTCCTACTTAGTAATTTATACAGCTGGCCATATCGCCGGTTAAGTTCTTGTCTTTTAAGTCTGGTATGTGGGTTCCAAGTTAGTCTTTTGTCAAGAAGGAAGCCAAGGTAACGGACTGTGTCTGAGTAGGGAAGTGGAATTGAATTAAAAAGGATTGGCGGACAGGATCTGCGTCGCAGGGTAAAAGTGATATGTTTGCATTTTGATTCATTGATTTTGATGCGCCAGTTATGAACTTAATAACAACAACTAAAAGAACAATAAATCAGAATATTGTTGTTGGGGATAAATGTTTCTTATAAGTAAATTATTTCGTATTAAGACAAAAGCGATAAATATACGTTATTTATATCGTGAACATTCTCAAACCCTTCTATATTGCAGTAAATTATATCAAAACTATTTACCGAACAGTCGGTAAGCTGTTGTGACATGTTCAATAGCTGAAGAATCTGAGGTCTGGAGTTACTTCTATATTCTCCGATGATCTATCATGATCCGATAACTATC